ATATACTGGTAATTAAATTATTACGTTAACACAATTTAACTCCAGTTAGGTTGAATGTAAATTGAGTTCTATATAAGACTGCTCTTTACCCTCAGCCGTGTCATTGTGGCCTGTGTTTGAGTCTTTGTACTGCCAATAAATAAAATTACATTAAATGTTATTTTATTTCTACTTTAATATCAAACAACAGGTAGTACATATTATTGTTATTTTTGTTACTGTTATTATTGTTGTTATTATTATTATTATTAATAATAAGCTTTTAAACCAGAAGTAGAGGTATTTTTAAACCCTGGAAAATTGCACCTATTGTTTTGTTCTCTTACAGGTAAATCAGGAAAATCAAAACGACCAAGAAAAAGACATATATGTGATGAAGGTTTGTAGTTAATAATGAAATAATGAAACTTCAATATGTTGATTTACATATAATACAAGTGTAAGTGCACTAATTGTTTACATTATGTGGAGAAAAACAGTGACTGTATCAAAATATTTGAATGAATCAATTTTACATTGACTTTGAATTTGAAACCAGGGCCTACTGATTACCATTACTAAAGGCTCCATGTATACTTCCTTGGATTTTCCCATTAGGTCATCACAAGAGTAGCTTATGTACACGAGTGCATAAACGCATGTTAAATTGTTGTACTACTCAACAAAAACTATGGACTGTACCTGATATACTCAAAATGACTATTGCACACTTTTGTTTTGCTGTATAATGCCAAGTGGGTTATTCTCTTTGCAGGCAAGTCAGGAAAATCAGAACTGCCGAAAAAATTGATTTTGGATACAGGTGTGTAATATATTTAATATAGTATTTATTAGCATTATATTGACATTTCAATACAAATACTTCCTAATAAAACTAAATTTACAGACAAGTTATAGAGTAGTTACATATTGCACACTAGAGAGTAGATAAGTCACACTGTTCACAATATGGATATAAATGTAAATGACAGGTGTATAAATTTATTCCAATATTAAATTTAATATTGACATTAACAATGAAATTAAATTCTGCTGGTAGAACACCACCCAGGTATCTGTTACATGAAAGCATATTTTAAAATTTAAGATATTGCTTCTCCAGTCAACAATTAGCTCTGCAATACAATACAGCATTTATTGGATTCACTTTTGCATCATAACACTCGATGTTCATAATTACAGTATATAGACCTAATTAAATGAGATACAATTATATAAAATACTGAAAATAAAACAAAAAGTTCATATGGGTCACCTAGTTATACAAAAGACAAGAAAAGAAAATACAATAACCAAAATTGCAGTAGTACAACAAGATCCTAAATTAGAATTGCCGTACAGATAAATAAATAAAACAAAAAATAAAATCATTGGTATCAAGAAATAGAGATATTATTTTTTTTAATGCAAAAGTGCTATAAATGTTATTGCATTCTTCCCAAGCATTAATTATATTAAATATATTGTTTGCAATATTTATCAAAATGTTTACTTGTTAACTCTCATTTAACTTAAACAATTCACAACTATAATGTGTCACTTCCTTTTCACTTTCTGTTGAATAATAATAATAATATTTATTTGGACTCACTTTTTCAGCAGTGGCACACTTACATATTTGATTATAACACAACATCAAATTAAGTACGAGCAATAGCATAAATAAAAAAGTAGATTGATAAAATTATAAAAAAAACCTAAGAAGTAATTACTTTAAGTTCAATGCTGCATGTCATAAAGAAGAACTAAAATTTGAGTCCAACTCAAAACAGCTTATATTTATTTCTTATTTATGTTTTTCAATATATCTTTATATTATCTTAAAACTAGAAAACCCTGAAATTGATAAAAATTCTGATTTATGTGTGTTAGAAAACATTAAATATGCAGTTGTGCATAAAAAATGGATAAATATTATTTAATACGATACAACACAATAAGTATAATTTAAAACTAATATTTGTTACTACGTAACTTAAATCTTAAAATATTTCTGTATGAGATAGATAATTGCAGAAATATGTTATTTTTGACTGGTTTCCAGATTTAATTATCAAGGAATTCCTGACAAGAAAGCTGAAGCAATTGTATCAGGATGTTAATCAAGTGACACCAGCAATCTGGCATAGACATCATAGAGTAGATATTGCTGAAGTATTTACACAACTCATTTTACTGGAATCCAACAGGAAAGACAAAGGAAAACCAGATGAAGTCAAAT